ATTGACAAATATTAAAAACACAGTGACACCGATATCTATTTCATATTGCTGAGACTTCGTTTTTTTTAAACCCAGACACCGCTGCTACTTGAGGCTAAAGCATTACTCCACTGTGCCCCACTGGTATTTGCACTGCATAATTGAATCTTGTCAAAGTACAGTTTTTATACCGTTGATTTTTCCGTTCTATTATTTAGCCTTGAGAACTCAAATTTGAAGTTACAGCCCAAATAGATTGCATCGTAACGCTGTCTGCAATATAAAAAAACAGGTCGCGAGATGCTTTGTGTGGATTTACACTTTGACAGATTTTTTTTACCTTTGAACTTGTACTCTGGGCTCGCTGTGTGTGTCCCGCCTTCAGTTGCTATGGCAACCAGCTGACTGCCAGCTATAGCCTTAATGTTTAATGACTGTACATGTGAGCAGTATTGATCCCCTCATCAAACTGCCGGCAAGAGAGCAAATAGCGACTCGGCTTAAACTCATTAAAAGAGGCAAGACGTACAAGGAGGGTATCAAAACACTTTCAGACTCTCGTCCACATGTACCATCGGATGCGAAGAGCTTTATACAGAACTATTACTCAATGTGGTCAGAGACTTGTCAGCGAGGCATCAATTGAACTATTCCTAAAAATGGATGTATTCCTCATAATGTTACTCCGCTACAATGAGAAAAATGAAACCTTGGTGACCAAAAGTGAGCGTTGGTATTTTTACGATAGTATAGTATACTATAGTACCGCGTATCGCTGGCGAGCTGATACTGGCTTGATTTCAGGGTATCGGATACTCGACAATGCTGCCGAGACCAGACAACAACACTAAAGGCAAATCAAATCTGATGACAAGAAAATCCCCTTTGCCAGTAGTTGGCGCTATCCGGAAAATGAACAGTTATCTACCAGTTATAAGTTGCCAATTGCCTGTGTGTTGCCAAAACACACAGGCTTGTCTTTTGGCTCCAAAACATGACATGGAGCTCAAGTCGGCAAACAAAAAGACTACAAATGAGGGGTGAAAGCGGCAAAAAAAAAAAAAAGTGCCATGAAATGCTATAGAAATATTCTTGTAAGGGAGACTGCCCCAGAGGTCACAAGGTGCGGGTCTCATCCCGAGGACGCTGTGGTTTTTATCTCCTCATCCAACACTGATGTGGAGCTAAAGCCGCTACGTGCTCAGCCCGGTCCCCGAGGGATCACCTCACAAGCCCAGGAAAAAAAAAAAAAAACTGCACAGACTGCAGACGCAGACACTTTTAAGAAAGCGGCACATCCGTTCATCCCGGTTTGGAGCTACACTTTATCCCTTCATACTGCACCACTGGGCCTGACTCATTATTTCGGTTTTTAAAAAAATGATAAATCTCCATACTAATTACGTCAACTGTGACGCATGCACTGATTGGACAAATGGACGTTTGTATTCTTTGAATGAACTGTTTTTGTGTTTTTAGGCCTGGGTGGACAGGAAATATTTTTTTCCGATCGCAGAATGGTAAACTGCATTCATTGCTCAACAGTCCCTTTGAAGTAGCAAAACACCGGCGCTTCTCTTCAACGGCACCATTATAGGTACATTATTTGCAAATTACCCTAAGTGCCCTTCAGTGTTGCTCAATGGCTCTTCAACTTAATGAGCGGGCAATGGAACCAAGTGCTGATTGAACACCCAAAGCCGCCGTCAATGAGCATTGAAGCAGTGGCGAGAGCGAAATTTCATAAACAGCAATCAAAGGCTCAGAAAGAGCAATCCGACTTTTCCCGGGACAAGACAAGCGCATTGATGCTTGTCCTCCCGTTGTTTATTTAGCGTGCCGTGCGGCGGTTATAAAAATGTGCGATGGCCGCAAGAGGAGCCCCTTGAAATGCCAAACATGCTCGGCTTAACAGGAGGCAAATGTCGTTTCGAAGGTCAGCGTTCCATAAGAACAGGGGGGGTGCGGGAAAGGTGTTAAGGTAAACACTTTTATCGTGCCTTCTGAAGGTGTCTGGAAGATCTATTCATTGATTGTTTGCATTATTAGAGTGTTACTTTACAGCTCATTCCAATCATGATATGGTGCTGCTTTTGCCTTGCTGAGTGGAAAGCACAAAGCCGAGCTAATACAAAAAGTCCAGATCAGAGATTAAAAGCCTAAAGAAGTCATGGTCCACTCCAATGTATTTAATTTACGGTGGCCATTGGAAATGGTGATTTTTTTTTTTTTTTTTGGATTACTTGAAAATGATGTCAGTAAAAGCCTACTAGAACATTTTAACTTCATGTTCCCGAGAGGCAGATTAAATGGTGGCTAACTTAACATGATTATGAGAATAGCCGCAACCCAAGTTTTAAGAGGGTGTGCACACTTGTGCAACGGCATTATCGCTGTAAATTTTATCATCCCTCCGGAAAAGCTTCATCTGGCTTGTTTTTGTATTGGGGTAAACCACACCGAGTGTGCCACAGCTTCATACCAAAAATGACCCCACGTAACCTAGACACCCCCGGTCACGACTGTATTATTTGTTATATAGCAATTCAGGCTCCCTAGTTTTAATTTCACTGGAACTTTATAGCCAGTGACAAAGAACACACGCAACCACTCAGTGATCATCATCTGATTTGATGAAAGTAAGCGTTCTGCCACTCGTCCGTTCCCTCATCTGTACCTACTCCTTCGGTCAAAGTGTCGCCTTGATCGATCCCTGGCACTTCCACTTTCCACTTAGTGACCCCGGGGGTCACAAGAATGCTCACTTCCAAGACATTGATTGCCCATCAGCACATTAAGAGCCCGACAGTTAATTACAGACCAAAAAGGCAAGGGGCGGCAACTTGGAGGAAATGGCATGCGTCACAATTAAAGCCATTTATTGGCCAGGGAGCAGAGTCAACTTAGTTACACAACGAGTATGAGCAGATTGTTGGGTACAATTTCTTCTTGTTTGCTTACTGGACACATATCATGGAAAATGGACTTTTCATCAGCTTGGAAACACATAGTTGGGTTACAACTGCATTACGTAGATTAGTGATAGACTACAGCGCGTTCAGACTTGGGCACCATTTTGGAGCCCCACCCCCCACCAAAAAATCTCTCTCTCTCTCTCTCTCTCTCTCTCGGCCAAACAGAGCGCGTTCAGACTTGGGCACCATTGTGGCCCCCCCCCCCCCAAAAAAAACTCTCTCTCTCTCTCTCTCTCTCTCTCTCTCTATGGGCCAACAGAACAAGAAATGCAAACTGACCTCACCTTTGTCATCTTACAGTTACATCTTATTTTATTACAAATATTTTATTTAGACACTATTCATGAGGAACATGAGGAAAAAAAAATGCAAAAAAATGCAAAAAAAAAAAACAAAAAACATAAATACACAAGCTCCACTGATCTGATAACTTTATGGAGGGCGCGTAAGATCTTTTTCTGTTATTTGTTCAATGAGCATTCAGTATTAAGCGGCAACTCTGCGAAGCAGGGCAACATCCACACCATGACAACAATTCCATACCAACATTTTTCTGCTCAAATTCAGACGAAGAAATTTTAGAAAAAGAAGTCAAAAGCCCTTTCTAAGTATGTTTTTATTTTCCTGGATTGATTGGGGGCAGCATAGTAGATTAGTGGTTAGTACATCTGCTTATAGCTCTCAAGTTTTGATTTGAAATCTGCCGCAAAAGAAATGTATGATGACAATTTTTTTTAACAGAAGAAAGTGCATTTCTGATCCGGGTTCACTCGCAAATGCTGTTTGTGAAATTCTGACGAAACGGCGACTATACATCTTAACATGCCATAACTATCACAAAACAGGACAAAAACGCATTAAATGGAACATGACAAATTTGAAAGACATTATTGTACAGTACGCGTCCCATCTCATGACAGACATCTTCCAAGTTTACATTTCGTTGTGTGCACCAAGTTTTAACCACGCCCAACGAGGCTTCTCATCAGCACTGACTGCTGTATCAAATCTTTTTTTTTTTTTTTTTTGACAGTTTAAAAAAAACATCATGAGGCATCCACGGCAATCACGACGTGTCATGTTTACCCATTTCTTCCCCCGGGTTGTCTCACTACCATTCCATTTTGTCGGGACTGTCGCAGCCTCCGGGAACATAGTGTAAAACGCGGCGCCACCTCCTTTCTTTCTATGCATCCCTAATCAAACAAACCCTGTTTACTTTGCGAACTGGTACCACCCTGCTCCAGATAACATTGTCATTTGAAGTCACTTCAGAGAGCCAGGCAGACCCCGAAGGCGGGAAGGCAGGGATCTAAGCGTCAGGTCGATTGTTGTTGTCTGAGGCTCGGCCCGAGGTCTTCTCCGAGCTTCGTCTCCTCTAATGGAAAACCATTGTCTAGCACCCAGGACATAACGCGCCGCAACGGAATACAGTCAGGCTTTTGTGGACTTACGCACCAGGCGGAATGTTCAACCACCCCCCCACCCCTCCAATTCCCACTGAAAGCTACTTTGGAGATGTAACAGCCAAGGAAGTCGATTCTCATTAAGAGGTACAAGCAGAACAGACTGCACAAGGGTGGGGCTTTCTGACATCATGATTATGCATACAGAACTACAAGGGGGGGGGGGCGGGGGGGGCAAAAAAGAAAATAAAAACAGCTGCCTTTTTTGAACACTCTTAATGAGACTAAACCTCGAAGAGTGTCACAACAATGCAAGAGTAAGGCACTTATTTATTGATGGTAAGTGGTCTGCACGGAGGTTAATTAGCACACAGTGAGTGCGTGATGTCACTTAGCTTTGCATATAAAGCATCTTTTATTTAGTTTTCTCGGCTAATAAGTTGCAGGTACTGTCTAATTGCAGGAGGGAGATGCCGCCCTCCCCCCTCCATGTTCTTGAAAAGAGCGAGTTCGCAGTCAGTTCAGAGCACTCCTGCGCCTACGAAACTTGCGTACATACAAGCGGCTGTGGAAATCGGAGGGAAAATGTTCTCAGACAGATCTCTAGAGAATGAGGAATTCCATTTCGCTCACGGGTTTACTCTTTTTTTTCTTTTTTTAAACGACCTCTTCCTCCTTTTATTGCATCTCAACTTCCCTTGCAGGATTCACCTTTGAACATGTTGGTCCAACACAGTTGCCAATGGGGAGATATATCTTTGGGATCCTTTGTGAGTCTTTTGGGGGTTTCATTTTCTTTGTGCTGTTCGTCACATCTGTGGGGGTTGAGGAAAGAAGAATATGAGCCATCATAAAATATAAGCAACAGCTTTCAGTGCATTGTCTGCCGGTAGCACAACGCCATTAACGTTGCTATCATGCCATTCGCGTCACTTCAAGCGAAATACTAATAATACCAATTTACTGTCGCGATGAAGCAATCTAACTCCAAGTTTTTATTAACATGTAACTAAATATATCCAAAAAATGATGTTCATGTTATTGGGTAGCAGCGCACCAGGTTTGGCTTTAAAAAAAATGGATGAAAAGTCGAGTATGTTTACAAACCTTTTGTGTCAATGAGGTAATGGGTGTCCCAGTAGGTCAACCTAAGGTGGAATATAAGCAACACAATGAGTCCATCAGTTAAAACTGATTAAAACAAAAACAAAAAAACAAAAAACAGACAAGACATATTGCAGTTTACGGATCCATTATGTGCTTCCTTAAAAAAAGTTCAGTTTACATTTGTTGTTAAAGATGGCTAATTATTCTCAGCTTAGCGGCCTAGAAACAGACAAGATAAACATGTTACATTTGAGTTTAGAGAGCGTTTATGTGAAACTATGTTAGGCGAGAGGTTAATCTGGGTCTGGTTGTATTACCTGGTGGGCTGGCGGTCTTTTTAAACAGCTACTGCCGTCCTCGCTCTGCTGAGGTCAGCTGGGGGTCATTTAGAGTCTCTTTAACGGACGGGGCAAAGGCAGGCTCTTTAAATGAGGGCCACGCGACCATATGGAGTAGAGCAGAAAGAGCAATACAAAAAAGGACAACAAAAACAAAAAAAGAACAGAGAGAGCAATCCCCCAGCTGGGCAAGTGAACTTGGCCTGAGAGTGTGACGAGGAGACCTTCACGCTGGGGCTACGAGCCATGTCTGTCAGGGTAAACACTCACAGAGTTAACGTCTGTCTACGGAAGGTGCTCGACATTTTGCGGACAAACGGAGAAGAGAGGCAACGTCGCTGGCACAAAATTCTCAAAATCTCAGTCGCCACAAAGTCAAGTTCCCAAAATCCCACCAATCTTTGTTGTTGTTTTGTCTCCTCTCTGTGTGCCTTTTAGTTTAAATTAAAGTTGGATTTTATCAAGTCAATAACACCAGGGCTTTTTGTTTTGTTTTGTTCCCAAAATGTTTATTCAGCATTGACAAGAGGGAAATATTAAAGGGCTTATATAAGCTCAAAATAAAAATCCATACAAGCTCAACAAGTCTAACTTGGTGGGGTAACATATTCACAAGCGTATGAGTTTGTCATGTTCATAATTAAGCTTTAGAACTTCTATCCTACCATCATGTCAAAATGACCCGTTTAAGCGCACCAAAAAAAAATTACAAGAACCTAAAAATCACAAACAACAAATACCTGTGGACAACTTTGCACATCTGTGAGTTTGATGTTAAATTCCTATTTATTAGATGTATTAAAGAGGTTTATGAACACAACTGTATCATGACAAACAGCTGACAACATCCACATTGCACGCCATGCTTTCATAAGCCCTTTAACAGCGACGTACTAGTATTTTACAAAAATGAGGAAACAGCAATACAATATGTATACAGGTATGACTTGTTTTTTTTTTGTTTTTGTTTTTTGGGGTTTTTTTTTTTTGGAAAACTTTTATCTTACAAGGGACACATTTCCACTTACTCCTCAAAAAAAAGATATCTACAATACCGCACGTCCTACTACTAACCCTTACATCTTTAGCAATGAACCAAAATTTCATTGAAGTATATCGAGGGAGATACATTGAGGTGCACTCGCCGGCTGCGGCGATAGCTCACTGCGACGACTACAAAAGTGAAATTAGCTTGATACAATAGTCTTCGTCCCTGTTACATAACGGAGAGAAACTCAAAACACATTGATTCATAATGTTAATTTCTGGCAAGATGGAAGGACACATCCTGAATTGTATTTCCCAGCAGGAGTAAGGTTGTTTTCCTCAGGACAGTGTGAGGCCCACACCGAAAAGAAAAAAATATTTCAAGAATAGAAATGTATTTTGGAGTCACCGAGTACATTACATACAGTAGTGTGAATTTATGGAGAAATGTTATAACGTGACGAGAAAAAAAGGTGAGAAAAGTGCAGTGTGTTGGATTTTTTTTTTTTTTTTTTTTTTTACAAGACAATGCTATTATATCACAAGAATAAAATCACAATATTAGGGGGAAAAGTAGCTTGTTTTGAAGTTTCATTCAGACAAACATGTTCACATAAATGGTAAATAAAAGTGGACCAAGCACAGAACCCTGTGGTACACCCTTGTGAACAGATTAAATGTCGAAGCATACACCATCTTATCGAATGAACTGCGACCGGCTTCCAAGATAATGTAAAGTTACTCAACTTTTGATGTCCCCCGCCATGTGTGGTGAGGCCATTTTTTTTTTTGTGAAGCTGAGCTGTCCAGTATTTGTTTATGGACGAGACATGTGGCGAACTCATCAGGCAGTTACGCTTCATGCTCCGTGTGAGAACTATGTTTTAGTTTTTGCCCCACATATTGACAATTCTGGGATTCCCGTATTTGCAGATTTTTGGGGGGAACCTGTCCTCTGTTATTTGGGTAGAAATGTCACCTATTCCCTTTGTTTTTATGCTCAGGCTAAAGCCTATTCTATAAACATATTGCTTTTTGAGCCTTCTAGTGGCATCTTGGTGTCTACGAACTATGTTGAAGCAAGCTGAGGAGCTTCATTACAAGGACTTTGCCACCATCTTGTGACATTAACAGGGCACTTATAAACGTTTTAGCGGGGGCTTCATTTCAGGGCTTGGGACACTGTCTTATGTTATGACAACTTTTTCTTTATGTCCTCACTGTCATTATGATATTACAATTTTATTTCTCTGTGAGGCAGTGGGGCTTCCTTTTTTAGAACCAGATTTCACTCAGAGTCTTTCTAGAGATTTTATGTTTTAAATCTCACATTTTAGCATTGCTAAAAATGTGGGGATGTCCATTAAAAAAAAAAAAAAAAAAATCCATTACTTGGGTTGGAACTGCCACGAGGTTTCGGGCGTGGACCGTGACACAGTTCAGTATCTGGAGTACGGCTGCTCTCTGTACACTCCCTTGGTCGTCCTCGCCGACTGCGCCTTGCTGTGACTGTTTGCCCACTCTTCTTGACCTGATTAAACAGGATTGCAAAGTTACTGAACCACCCGCACATCAAAACCTTTCACATTTCCGGAGCAACGGGCTACTGATGCGACTCATACCTTGGCAGAACTCCTCTCAGATAATTGAACGAGATGATCAAACGTCTACTTGAAAAGGGCCCGTTTAGAGGCTCCAACCAGGTCACAATTACCAGGAGCCCAGATCAGCCGCGGGTACTTTCCGTGCGAAAGTGGCGCTATCGATGGCACCTTTTGTCTGATCTGAAGCCAGTGCCAAGACTTCCCTGGAGCTCAGACTCACAAAGGCTTGTGTATTTTTTTTCCCCCGCCCTCTGCGTACAAGCTGCTGGCAGCACACAGCCGATACCCCTTAATTAAACCTGTCACCCTTTCAGGGGGTGTCACTTTGAAGAAATACACCGTTTTAACCTTGTGTTTTGAAACCAAGGATAGGCCCCCACTTGGATGCCGTTATTAGCTTCCTTTGAGCTGTCGCCCTTTGGGTGACCCATGCCGAGAGAATACAGTAAAACACTTGGCAGGTTTATTTTATGTGGCGCCACGCAACATACTAATGAGCTCAATGAGCGTGATTCTTTTGCCTACTGCCCAGAAAAGTTGGAAAGTTGTTTGCCAATCGCTCTGACTAAAAATACGGTACTGCATACAAAATACCCAAAACATTTTTTTTTTTAAATCACAATGTCAAATAGTCGTCAAAAGTGGAAGTGAACCAAGCCACTGCAGTCAGGGGTCTAACAATGAAGCGAAAAAAATAATCTCAATGTTGTGATGAATGGTCGCATTATGGAAAAAAAGTAACCAAAGTCATGCAGTAATGCTACTAGACTAAAGTTATAAGTTGAATAATCAACTAATTCAATATTATGGCTTAATAGTATAGGAGAGAGAACACTAACGATTACGATACCAGTCACAATTTTTGCAATTCAAGCAAGCAAAATACAACAGAGAGGATGAGTAAATGAGCTCTCAAGCCTGTAAGTAGCTGGGGGACATAAGCGGGACATCGGTGTGAGATGGCAGACAAGATGCTAATACGCAATTTTTTTTTTTTAACTCACCATACAGCTCATATGATTCACCGCCTTGTCCATATTCATAGTAGTCATCTGAGCTGTAAGCAGACAAAAAAGCAACCAAAAAAAAAAAAAGCATCATCAGTTTTGTTCAATTGATTCTTGTCAACATTTACACAATCTCCACTTCACAACCAACAGGCAAACACTGACAACATGTACAAAGACTGAGAAATGCTTCTTCGCTCTGGCTAGTGCAGCTTTAGAGCACCTTGTTGTCAGCCAGTGTCCATGTCAAGTACAGAGAAAATAGAAGAGCAAAGTGTGTGTGTGTGTGTCCGACTTGACAACCTGAATGTGGACATGTTTTTCATGCAGGCATGGCCACACGTTAGAGCGCCTTGTTTTGTACATGTCTGCTCAGCATCCTTTAGCACAACTTTATTCACCGCCCAAGGTTCCTAATTTTGTTTTACGCTGTTGGTTTTTGTATTCTTTAATTACCGCTGGTCGCATATCGTGCTTCTCTGACTTTCCTGTAATTAGTGTAAATGTCCAACAACAACAACGAAAATGCAACATAAAAGCAGAATTCCGGCGCTATTTATTTGTGATTCTGCGAGAATGGGTCTGCCACCATATTTCCACGCAACCGAGCATTGAGATCGATGAGAGGTGGCATCCTTAATGAAAAACAAAAAGACGGGGCCAGTCAGGTCCGCAGCAAATTCGTTCACGTGCACCCGAGACACTGACAGAACAATCGGTTCAGTCGCGGTGGAGGCAATTCATCATAAGGCTGCCACGAAGTCGACACTGGCCATCACACCTGGGCCCTTGTTGCCTGTCTTGTCTGTCTGTCTGTCTGTCTGTCACGTGGGGCCTGGAAGTGACAACGGGCGTCTCGCTACCTCGCAGATTAGAAGGCAGAAAGCACCTGAAACCTCAGCGCCACGCAACCGCTCTGGGCGCGGAGGTGACAGATTGGAAGTAACGAATAACGGTTTATTTTAAACATGGCGTGACAGCAGCGGGGGGGCTTCGGCAGCAGCGGATGCTAAAAGGCAACAAGATTGCTCCTATTTTGTGTATTTTTTTTTTGGATTGACGTGGACAGTTTGATGCAGAACATTTAAATGAAGCGACAAAGAGGTGTGAAAGTATTTTGAAATGTCGCTAGTTTTTTTTTTAAATGGAAAATCGTGCTAGGGAAACAACATCTAAAGCGGGCTACAAACATGTTGATGATTGTAAATTAAAGTCAACAGCCCTAAGAGCCACACTTAACAGCCAGTGACATCAATGTTTTATTGTGGGGTTTTTTTTTTCTTTTCTACAAGACATTGAGGTCAGTAGAGGACAGCGGGAGGAATCATCTTAAGAGCACTTTGGTGGCTCAGTGACACGAGACCGCTCCGTACGGAGGCTTGTGACTTAAGCGTGGCTGAGCATAAATTTGACCGTGCTAACAATGTGACAACAAACAATGCAGTTTAGACAATGTGTTGGGGCGCCTTTCTGCCAAAAAGTCAGGCTAACGGCAATGTGTGTGTGTGTGTGTGGGGTTGGATGTGTGGCTTCCAATCAGCCTGTGGCATATGTGCCAATGTGAATCTTGCATTGATGTCAAGTCACTGGAAGATCGGTGGCACTACTCATTGACTGAGGGAGTTTTGAGAAGGTCAAATAAGCCACGATGAGACTGACTTCTTTCTTTCTTTTTTTTTTTAAATAAGCATCATGATATTCTAAGAATCCTTTTGTCAAAATACAAACTGAGCTAGAGGACACATTTTGTTTAATGATGGGATTTCCCATTTTCCGAATGTATCAGTAAAAAAAACATTCTAGCTAGTACTAACACCAATCCAGGGTGTAGCCTGTCATATTTTTGATCTTGATTTATTTTAAGCATCTTTCCTAGTCAGTTGAGCTCGAAACTGCCACTGCTGCACTTACCGCTTCTTCTCAGTCACACAAATGAAGCTGACAGCAGGAAACCAAAACTGCACTTCAAGGTCACGATTCACCTGCATTTTACGTGATCCATTTACAAACATGACGACGCTTGATTTTAATCGGCATTGCTAGAGAGGTATTAACTAACCAGAATTTAAAGACAACGGTGTTTCTTGAAGTGCTGTTCTTGCATCACTCATACCAGTGCCAGGGTGAAGGCACTTTTTATTATGAGTCTCACCAAAGACATGTTTGGCATCTGATCACACCCAAAAACTCATCGACGCACACATACTCCATGTATTATAGCAATTCAACCTAAAACTAATAAAAGCTCAAATGAAGCATTTTCAAAAAATACAAACAAAAAGTGAACAAACCTATTGTAAAAACTAATTAAAACAGAATTTTTAAAAAATGAGTCAAAACAAAATAAATGGTAACTATGGTGAAAAATACCAAACTATTCTAACCCAGTTTAAGACACGATCAGAAGTGGAAAAACAACCTCTGTGCCCATCATCTGTGATTAATTTTGTCTGTCATGCGGCACGTGGATCTAACATGCGATATGGCGCTGCCACAGGTGTAAATGAGTTTTGCCGTTCTAAATGAGGTCATATTTTGATTCGATATTCATTCGGAGAAGGCCACCGCTGCTTTGTGTCGCCTCACAAAGAGTAGAGCACATCTGTCCGGGCCAGGAGACACTAAGACAACAGCAGCGGCAGAGCATGTGTCTTTCAGGGAAGGCGATTCCAGGCTTACTTTCCCTCAGGTTTAAAAAAAAAAAAAAAAAGAAGCTTGCAGTGCATCTGTCATTTCTGTAAATGCCTCATCCTGAGCCCTGATGTTGTTGTTAGGGCGAAACAGATGGGAGTGTTAAAATTGAATGATGTAGTACACGTCCCGGGTGGACTGTGTTTTCTTATGCCGCCATTACTCTTGCCGTCCTTGGTGATGAATCTGAGGAGACCTCAGAGGACGTTAAAGGAGGCTGCAGGGGTACGAGGGAGAGGATTGAATCGTTTAAATGATGCAAGGCAGCCACCAGAGGGCAGGTTTTGCAGCTACCGCGCCACCACATTCCATTCTCCAGGTGCGCCATAATAGAGGAAGGCGTTCTCCATCGCACTGTGTAATCCATTTCAGTACAGTACAATGTTCTGCGCAAGATGGTGACAACCAGATTTGTGCACCTACAACTCAGGTCTTCTGCATTGAAAAACAAATCAACGGTAGTTGTAAAAGCAGATGTCCAGATGGGAGACAATTAAAAGTTTGTCACCACTTGTGTAGTTTTACAATGCGAACGTTTCTCCTCTATTCAGGTGATCTACTCTTGGGTGTTTGTGCAGCGTACCTTTGCACATTTGTCCACTTCAACGCTGGCAAATTGGCCCCAAAAGCAGCCGGAGAGCAATGTTGTGCAAAAAGCCAGCGGAGCGGCGAGGGCGTCGGACAATAAAGCACAATATGGGCGCTGTTTTGTTACCAGCACAAAAATGTTAGTGCAGCATTTTAGTGGTGAAAGGTTTTCTAACTTTGCATCAGCCCCTCTTTTTCATTGGCCACTTTAAAATGGGGGAGAATAAAAATGGCATTTTTCTCCTCCAAAAGCCATTTTTTTCTTTTTTTTTTTTTTTTAAAACCAGGACCACATTTCCTCTGGTGACACACTTCTGTGATGCCCTTTTTGCAATCACGCCTTTCATTCTTGTCTGGCACCGGCTTGCAAAGGAAAGTGCTGAGTGCAAATGCCCCACACAGACCCTTCTGATTGCGACAGCCCGGTGGTGATTTTTTATTTTTTTTGCAGACAAACAATACAAAAGAAAAGAAAACATCTGAGGCAAAAGCAGCACCATTTCCTGTTCCCAGTTTAGTTGGGAAATGAAGCTCACACACAGTCAAATGCCAAAATCTTCTAGATGGATACGCTGATTGCCCAATAGTACAGCTGATTACAAAGCTAACACTCAAGCTGACCCCGCCTCCCATGTAATCATTTTAAGAAGGCGCCTAAAGTCCTTTTTATGAAAAATACAGCCACTCATTCTTTTGACATCAGTTAAAAAATGTAACGGCATGAAACGTCCAATATGCTTCTTTGAGCAGAGGTGTATTTTTTGAACGCCTTCCCCCAGCCACAGCTCCCCCCACCTCTATCTCAGATGCGGTCAAATTCCCGCTGCAGCACCTGTCAGTCCTCTTGATGAGCTGTCAACTTTGAAGCAACATCAAGGCACATAGCAGCACTGCAGGTGTCTGAGTCTGACAGCTAGCGCAGCCAATTGGCTAAATTTATAGAAAGAAGGTGGGGGGAAAAAAAGACTAAACGGCTCTGTCAAAGGGGGCTGGCAAATATAGCACAGAGCACCGAAGAATAATAAACGCATGGAGTTCGTGTTTTGCAGGAAGGTGTCCTTTCCTTTGCCACATCTTGCTTGGGAATGTTGTAAAAAGTCTTCACAAGGTGAGGTCATTTCGGTTTAGAAAATGTTTTTGAAAAACGAATATTAGTGTCAAAGTGTATTCATGTGCACCATCCTTTTTGCAAATAGAATTTCAGAACGGTCACTCAGTTGGTTGTTAACTTAGCTGCGTGTATCATTGCGGCCAAAAAGAGAATAGTGCCATGTCACATTGTTTCAGTTTTTTTTTTCCTCATCAAATTTGAGTTCAATTGGTTTACGCTGCAGTGGTAAAAGAAAAAAAAAAAAAAAAACGCATTGTATATAAATGCGAATGCCTTTGAGAAGGTGTCATGACAGCAATCTGTTAATGCCAAGAAATGCGGTTTGTGTGCCTACGCGGTTCTCTTGTCTACGTCTTGTGTTAAAATTTACACTTGCTTCAAAAGGGATGCAGCTGCCATTTAAAACACCGTCACGCATCGATCTGTGCACCGGCGGGCCCTTGGGATCCATCACGATCCAAAGCAAAGGTAAAGGGGAGGGTGTGCGCTGTTTAAAAAAAAAACAAAAAAAAAAACGTCATCTCTCAAGTGTGAAGCACGAAATAACACTCGAGTCGCGGCCGAGCTGCGAGTATGATCGCTGGTCCGTGACCTCAAGTATCTAGCCGGGTGCCACCCATCCATTTTTATTTATTTATTTCCAAATAGAAAGACCCACCCTTGTATTTGCGGATAAATGTAAAGAGTTTGCTCGAGCGGCCGTCTTAACCTTAGCGTTGGAGTGGTACTTAAGCAGGCTTGTGATCTCCCCTGAGCTAAGCACTCTGAAGCCAAGAGAGCTTGTGTGTTTTACCAACTTGTTAGGAGGAAGCTGTGATCTCCTAAGGATGACTGCCACCGCCGCTGTGTCGCACCCCCAGGCCCTTGCTTGATTGTGTGAATATCACTAAAATGTCTTCAGGATGTGTGAAAATAGCTTTTTATCTCAGGTCACACGTGTTAAGTTGTAAAAGTTGTATTGTGCTCACCACGCGGTCACCGAGCAGCTCAGCTTTGCTCGGCCGGGGAGCCAAATTTTAATCAGGAAGAAGAAACGCAAGGCAAGACTGTGGCGAAATGGATCTTTGAAAATAAGAATGCCAATCAGTCCTCACCAACTACCGGGAGTGGTCACTCATATGGCCGGCCAGGTACGAGAAATGAGCAGCTATTGAGAATTAAAAAGTCGAGTCCAGGTTGCGATGTGTAGTAGCAATATTGAATCTGTGAAACTCCTCCAAAATGTATGTCAAGCACAAATCACACCCTATTGCTGAATCAAATTCACATTATGTGGGGGAAATCTAACACCCATTAAGGCACTGTAAAACTGCATTTACGCATGCGGCATTACAAAAAAAAAAAAAAAAAAGCCTCTGTCTTCTGCTTCAAGTTCACTTTCTATCAGCTTGGTGGTAGAAGCCATCGGGCTAATTCGGTGCTGTTACATTTTTTTAACTGACTGTCAATTGTGCTGCTTGTTATCCATCGGCAAGTATCAGAGGTGTAATAGAAGCGAAAGAATGCCAGCTGTGACCAGAGTGTGTTGAAAGCAATTGTCGCCGCCGTGATGAAAACGCATCTAATTATTCTGATTAGAATAAGTGGCAATGCCTGTCAACACGCGCGTGACTTGTTAATGACAATGGTGAGTTCTTTTTCTCTCTCTAAGTTACGAACGTTGATATGTTGAAAAAAGAGGGGGCAGGGGGGTCACACGATCACACTATGATCTATCCTCCACCCCAACAAGATAAACCCCAGGTGACATCAAGTTCATCCCGACAGAGCCATAAAGGAAAGCATCGACCAGCTTGCTCACGAAGGAGAAATACGGCTACTTCCTCACCCCTCAAGCTGTTGCCAATACAATCCAATTGTGGACATTCTAAGTGGGCCAACAGTCATTATTTCTGTAAAAAATGGTGCTGGCAGACATGCATTGTTGCACACTGTTAAAATACTGCAGGACACAAAGCAAAAGCCTTTTGACCTAGCGCGGCATGGGAAGAGCGATCGCTCCCTGGATACAAAGAAATCAATATTCTGCATTTATGTGGAGGGCTCTTTTGTTAAATGGACAAACATCCCCTTATGAGTGTTTACAATGAATGCAGTTGCCACAAATTACAAAAAAAAAGAACTGTGTGACCCATCTTAAAAGCTGACTGTTTAAATGGAATTTAGCGATCACCTTTAAAAAAAAAATGCCAAAGTCAAGCTGGGAAACAAAAACCTCATTAACACCAAGATCATCGGAGCGTGACCGCCGCCGATTAGCTCACGCTCAACAATTGGATTGTAAATCAAGTTCAACATTGGCGGATATTTGCAAAATTCAAACTAGTTAATTTACTCTCTGATGAGCTCGACTTGAAGACGATGAAACACTCCGGGACTGCTTGGTGAGTCAAGGGAAGATCGCAAAAACAAAACTTACTTCTGCCCTTGGTTGGTGTAGTTGTTGTCGTAGGACTCGTATCCTTGGTCATCATACGCCGTTCCATAGCCGTCGTCGTAGTCCTGAAACAGAAGATTCCGACAATGACGTAACTATCCCAAAGGTAACTAAAGAGTTTTCGGCAGTGGTCCCTAACCTTTTTTTTTTTTTTGTGTGTGTCACGGAACAGTTGAATGGAGAACAAAATTAATCAACACATTACGAAATGTACCACTCAGGAATAATAAAGTACGCCTGATAATGTAAACATAATCATAGTGACGTTATGATCCTACCGACGGCGCGAGCGTCATTGTTACTTGCAAATGGGACTGATCAAAAGACGACACGACTGATTGCCGCTTTCATCCGGTGGCTAGCGGCTCATCATTAGCGACTAAACTGCTAATGTTTGTGTGGGCAGGCTGTTGCAAACTCTGCTCGCATTTTCCATGCTTTCTAATCGGGTGCTACTTGTTCAATTGACTCAACGGGCTTCTTGTTTTGCTTTGTTTTGTTTTTTTGACAAGATATCACGCATAGCAGCTTCCTCCTCCAAGTTGCTTCGGAGAGGTCGCTAGCGGAGGAACGTCTCTTGTCAAAATGGTTTCATCTCCGAAAGTCACGGCTGCCCATCAGCGGTGCGTTTCGCTGTTAACGTTTGGACAATTTATTAGGCTTGCTTTTTGTGCACTGCTCCTTCTTTCATTTATTGGCAAATTCTGTTTATTTCAACTTGCGAGCCAACGTTAGAAGGAAGACTCCGACTGGCTGGAGTTGCGCACATTTCCTCCACGTCTGATGGAGTAATTTCGACCGTAAGGCTTAAAAATCACGTGGCATCAAAACAGGCCAATCTGCTTCCTATGCTCGGGCCGCAAGAGCAGCGCCTGCATCCGCTTTGTATCAATTGAGTGACAGCGGGATGGAAGGACACGTGCGGCGGTCACGTCTCATCACCGCCTCAAAGCCTGAGCCTTGAACATCTGTTTGGACCGTGGCAATGTACCCCCCCCCACCGCTGCCCCACCCGTCCTAATTCGGAATAAACGGGACTTACGTTGCACAAAAGGTTTCGACCCCTAGCGACGTGCCTCCTCCCCCCACTGCGCACTTCTCAGCTAATTCCATCGCCGTCTGATTTGCATGCATGAAATTAATGTCTGCAAGATTTAGCCCCACAAGAAATGCTCATCACATCCACTTTATTATGAAGGTACTAATGCCTGATTACAAGTGCACTTTTTTTCTTCAAAATGACAGAGTTCAAATGAAGTCTTATATCGTTCAGTCTCCTGGAAAAAAAAGTGTGAGGTATTGTATGACCGAGATGTACAAAGTTCTTCAATCTGTGTTCAGTACGTATAAGCTTAGTAGGCAATGGAATGAGAAATTGATTCAAATATGGGGCACCACGGGTGTCAGTTGGCTCCTGAGCATAAACTCAATTTGGGTATCAAGTTTTATTCAGTCAACCCCCCCGCCCCCCCACCACCCTCAATTTGCATTCATTATTTCTTTATTTTAAATAAACTGATTGGCTATTGATCCGTCCTGGGTGTAACCTAACTCTCACTAAAGCCAGCCTACATCCCAGCTTACTGTCAAAAGGCGATAAGGCAAATAGTTGAGAATAAATGGCTCCCAGGCCGTTGTTTGGAAGCCCCCTGATACAGAGTTGATTTCTACCAACATGCATGTTTGTGTACAATTTGCTATTGAAATTCTGGCAGGAAGGCATTTGTTCTAAAAGAGTCAAATGTTTATTATGTGACTCACCGCATGTAACGAGACGTTTTAATTAAAATACGGATGCGACACAGAAACGTGTGACAAGCTATGACGTCAATAAGCAAATTGCATTCGCATTATTGCCCGACAAATTGCCCGGCCACTCCAGTCCTTGCTCCCTGCACAAAGTGAACAAAACACAACCTCGATATGAAATCACAATTGCATCCAGTAAGCGAGTGGCTTATCTCACAGAAAGCACAGCTTTCCCTCAGTCACTCTAACAGACAGACTGCTGAAATAAACAAGGTAAAATGTCAGAAATGTCAGCCTGAGATGCAATCTTTTTGTGTTTAAAAAAAAAAAAAACAACGACAAACTCTGAGCAGTGTTTATTTTTATTGTTATAAAGTTATACCTATTATCCAACTCTAAGTCGAGGCTGGAAAAAAAAAAACTATTATCCAACTCTAAGTCTCGGCTGGAAAAAAAAAGTGTTGTCATAAATATTGAATAAGCAGCGACACAAAAAGTAAAACCATGTAGCACGGCGGTGAAAACACAGTCTTAGCTGTCAAATAAAATCACTCCGGTACTTGTATACAGTCAAAGGGTGCGCTGGATAACAAAGTCGGCTGTCACGTGCGGAAAAAGCATCCGAAAAAAAAAAAAAAAATCCCCACAACGAGGACAGACAGCCGTCCGTCCGTTTGAATGCGGTGCACGCAGGCGATTGCTTTCACTCAGCATGTGAAAATGGTCGCAAAAAACAGAACAATACGCAGCTGCCTCGACTTCAGAGAAATATTTACATTTTCACTCGGCCCTCAAGAGGAAATATGGAGCTTTGATACAAAATTCATGCATGATCCAGATACTATAGTTCTCCATACGGCCATTTGATCATAAATTAATGAGCTTATTGTTTTTTTTTTTGTTTTTTTTCATTTGAGCTTGAACCTGGTGAGAATGTCGATGCAAAAATAATAAAACCCAAGTTCGCAAACTTCCAAATGACTTACTGTACATCTGAAAGCAAGTAAATAGGACTATTGGGTGTGTTCTCATGAGAATCGAGTTGGAAAAACCTGCACCGTTTTCATAATATATTCAAACTGGACTATTTCCCAACAACATGTGTCATACTGTGTTTGCATATAGCTTTGTGCATAATTCCAAGTTCCACCACTCAAATATGTCCGTTTTCTACTAATTGCTGTGCTAACGGCCACAAAATTCCTGAGAGAACACGCCTGACGGCGAATTGGTTTATCATGGCTTTGTTTTACATTCCGCACTGCCAAAAAGTGGTTAAACAATGGACTTGAGTCTTTATTGTGGCTTTAATTGCATCCCCATTGAGTTCGTACAAGTGCTTTGAGGCGCTTTAAGGTGAAATCTGAGTGTGGACTCGACTCACTGGATGGTTCTGGAGGATTTTAATCAAAGCATATTTCAAGTGGGTCAATGTACACAAAACAGCACTTACAACAGGGGTAGGTGTGACCTATTTCAGCGTCGGTTTCTATAAAATGTTAGTCCTCTCATAAATCTGGAAATAACGGGCACGAACTGGATAGTGAATTCTCAGATGCCCACCCCTGCCACCAAACGTGGCAATATTGTTTATATTACTAAAATAAAGATGGGGCAACAGCCGGGGACAAAGCACAAGCATTTTAATTTTAGTTGTTGAGATTTTTATGACGAATGAATCATCTCTTTTGACAGGCCTCAATATGGCTGAAAATTGGCCAGTGCTTGCAAACACTGCGGAAAGTATCCTGGTGGAAATGTACAGTGGATGTAACGCAACCCTGCAAAAGCCGGGAAAAATTATCCTACCACGAAAAAGAAAAAGTTCCGAGTATTGCACATGAAATTGAATCATATGTCGGCCATCTTGCAGTGAGGCAGCCATTTTGGGTGAGTTCCGTGGCTCTCTGACAGACCGCCTCTAGGAAATTCCCCAAAATGTCAGTACTGTATTAACTTTTCAAACACCAAATAGAATATTTGCGAATGTAAAAAGACAAACAGTCGAATTTCTCCAAATATCAAAACGTAGTACAACCTACTCAGTCAAAGAGTTGCTACCGTACTTCCCCGCTCTTCAATTCGTGAAGTACCGAAAATGAGCTGATGTTCGAGATGCTAGTTAGCCACGCCAGGTGCCCCTGTACTGTCATCAATTGTCGACGCGTTCATTCTAGTTGCAAACATTCATTTCAAAACAGTTGTCATCTTGACATGACCATGAATGTGTACAGAGTGAGGTGCGGCGCTCTCGTAAATGTGATCACGTATTGGACATGTTACCGCTTCGAGTAGCTGCTGTTCTTAAGCATTCCGCTTGTTAGTATTCCGCTCTCTCCCCTGAACTCGGCACTGTCAGTTCAAACAGTTCCCTGGATGATGCACTCCATTTGTATAACCTTGTACTGAGGAGCATATTAACCTTTAACGGTGTTACTGCCATTTATTAGAGTCCCCTTCCCTTTACAAGCGAGAGCTTGTCGACTGATAAATCACCTTGTCGGCGGATTCTTTTCTTCGGCGTCAAACGTGTGGAAAATTGTTGGAAATAAGACGGCGGAAATACAGCGAGTGAAGCTATTGAGATATCTGATATCGCCCCCTTTTACTCGAAAATATCTTGGCGAGCACAATAACGCAACACGCCTGCAACACTGCTGTGCCCACCCCCCCCCCCCCGAACACGAGACAGGGGCAGATAGCGCTCCCTAAGTGACTCTTTCATTTGTATGCCAGAGGACGGCTGAGAGGCGTGTTGTTAAAAGATAAGGGGCGGCCTCTGAGGCCACGAAAGACGAACAGAGGGCTCGCTTCTCTGTGTTACTACAGCGCTATCACTGCTGCTCCACTGTGCTCCACAACAACACCGCAGCAGATAGGGCGACATCGATACGCCCCCTGCGCAAGGCTCAACTTCATTTGGGAAAATCAACCCATTTCTTCAAACGGTGACCAGGGGTGTTTGTTTACCCCATTGCAAGAGAGCAGCGGGCATCTCTCCGGGCTAAGGTGATGAAAGGAAGACTTGTTCTTTGTACAAACGCAAATGACATTTTTCACAATTGGACTGCCGATGCTTTAATCTTCAACCGCCACCATCACAATGGATGAATAAATAAACCAAGATAACTCTTTGTCAAAACCGAGAGTTATAGCTCAATTGAAAAAACAAAATTACACCCTGATAGGAGAAGTCAAAATAAACAACCGAGGTAATATGCTTGCACGACCCTGCGCGCCTTTTGTAACTAGGGATGGGGATGTTCAGATTCAACTCATCACTTTCCAACTCCTGTTCAATCACCGCCACTGAAAGTACATCGAAAATAAAGATCAAATGTTCTCATAGGCTTGACCGAAGCATTTAATTTCTCGCTTCATGAGCAACCACAGCGCACAAGCCTGTGATTGCTCGGAACATGGTGTCCATTAGCAGGGGGCCGGTCGTTGTGGAATTACGGTAGTTCAACACCAGCCCATGTAGTGCTTTGTCAAGAGCCACACATGATACATACGACTCTCTTAGGACTTAACTGTATTCACGTTTCACATCTCTGTAAGCAAAACTGATTTTGTGACAAATGCCTCGGCTCTCTCTGAGATCTCTCTCTTTTTATAGTCTTGGTTTAGTCGCACCTTGAATCAAAATTCACATCTTCCCCGCGCTTCGCAGCAAGCGCGGGCCATTAATGAAACAGCCCTGCAGAAATCCCCACGCATTGAAAAGAGGAAATGGAATAGCGCTGCCTCTGCTTCACCTCCAGGCCGCGGTACATCCGGGACGGGCCACCGGCCCATCAATTACACCCATACGGCCCGCCATTCGATTTGCACACCTACACTGGGAGGCATTTTAGATCAAAATGTGACGCCTGGCTCACGCTGACCAGCGGATGACCTTCGTGCTGCAGCAGTGGATCGGAAAGAGAAAATGCAGAGGAGTTTCACCCATCATCCGCCCACCGACGTGTCCATCACTCGCTGCAATAATCCATCTGGACGAGCATATATTTGCCAATTCCTTGACTTGTACGTGTACATGCACCCCACTCACTCATCCATCCGTCCAACAAGTCATCCATTCCACTGAATTCCCAGCTGGGCATCATTTACAATCGCAATCCATTCAGGATATAGTAAATGAGAATGAGGAAAGCAAAGCAAGAACGTTAAAAAAAAAGGACTAAGCCTATAAATGGACAAAGGGGAACAGTTTGAACAGGATGCAATTAACACTGCTTGGCTCTCGACAAGGCTGAACATGTCCAGCTTGGCCTGGGGGACATGAGGAAAATACTTTTTTTTTTTTGCCTGTGTACATGAGTGTGAATTGGTATTGGAATTGAATAAGCCACACCAAATGCACATGAACAGCAAGCGTCCTAGTCTTAGCATCCAAAGAGCTTCATGTCCACAATCAAGTTTCCATAATATGTTAATGTTTCTATTTAGTTCTGCACACTAGTAGGACAACGACATGCTACCAGTGAGGCAAAACTGTGTACTCGTTTACATCTGTGTGCTACTATTAGATAAGCGCTCGATGTTAACCAGTAGAATTTTATAAAGCCATCGCACCGCACTAGTGGATTGATTATGTTAATAAGAATAGAATAAGAATAACTGCTTTGCATAGTAAGCAAAAAAAAAAAAAAATCCACCAACGCCAATGCCATGATTTCGACAAACTCGTAGTATCATTTTGGCAGACTAGTTGAACAGCTACATGTTACTCATGTGGTACACAGAAAGATTTTTTTTTTTTAGGTGGGGGGGTGGTAAAGGGACACGTGTAAACTGTTTTGAATTCAGAACGAATGCCTAGTGTGTCTTCTCTAATAAAAAGGACAGCTGGAGCATGTTTTACAAGTCCGGGAATGAATGCATGTTTAAACCGAAGACGAAGCGGGAACATCACTTTGTCATGTCATTGATGACTACAAAAGGGGTTTGTCAGCACCTGATGGCAAACACTTGGCTTGCGACGGTGATGTATTCGGATAACACGGAGCAACTCATTCTGCGTCTAATTTGCCGCGATGTGCTTAGATTTATCATCTGGCAGATGCCCCGGGATCCTTTTTTTTTTCCCTCTACCCTACCGGATACACAGGTGCCAGTGTCGGGGGCTGTAGTTTACAATGGTGACAATGATGGGAAACAGCTGGTGCGGGAGTCATTCCCTCGACCTCCACGCATTTGAATTGCAACCCGCTGAATAAAGCTGTCACATGTGCTTAGGCACGGGCCGCTGCGGTAATAACGCAAGTCGGGCCACCTCCACTCTTCCGTTTCTTAACATTGGGATGTTGAGGCAGGAGCTGCTGGCCCCATCCGGCTTGACAAAGTGGCACAAGATGTTTCCACAAATGCGCAGAAGCCATCACTTAATCTCTTGTAGATTTAGATATCGCACCCACATCTCTTTTTTGACTGCACAGGCAAAAAAAAAAAAAAAGAAGAAGAATATATAGCCCATACACCATCCATTCATCTATTTCTCATACTGCTTCCCCTGTTAAGGGTGACAAGGAACTGGAGCACATCCCAGCTGAATTTGGGAAAAAAACGGACTATAACGTGGACTGGTCATGATTAAATCAGGAAAAGAGGAGACTGATCGATATATCGGCAACAGTCACTTACATATTCGTCATAAGTGTCCTGGACAATGGGTGGAACCGGTCGATATGCAGTTGCCGGGGGAGCTCCCCTGGCTCGTTGCACCCCCCTCCCTCTTGCAGATGCTGCGCGGCTGGGCGGGGCTCCTCTGGGCGCCGCTCCCCTTGGCATGGCCGCGTGCAAAGGGGGCACTCCTCCTCGACTCCTGACAGGGCACACAAACGCCAAGCTTGAGCCAAAAGTGCGTAAAACCACGAGTCGAGTTTTTGCAGTAAGCAGCACGTGATAAATTATTTGAAGTAGATATACATGTGTGCGCTGTGTCAACGTCTCGCCAAAGCATTTCAGGATACGGTTACACTCATAGTATTGTATATCGTCAATAATATATGATGTCAACTGCAATCACGCTCATTATGACGAGCTGCCTGCATTGACTGTCTGAAAGGAAGCTGCCTTCCACACCGGCTACATTTCGTCTACATTACGCCTCTGTTAGTAGTACAAACACGCAAGCATGCCATTGAGTGGGAAAATACCGTACGAGGCCCTGAGATTTGGACCTGGACCGTCTTCTGACTCTTCCCACTGAGCTGACACAAAACGCTGCAGTTTTCTATGTATGAAGTCAAAGGTTGGCTGAACTTGCGGTTTGTGAAAGGTGTCAACGCTTTTATCGGGTTTTATCAGCGAAATATAGTCTCTAAGGGCAGTTAAATGATGTGTAGCAATAGAAAAAAAAAACCCACAAAAGGTGGCTCTGAGGGTCATTTGCTTTCTGTCGTTTTTCATTCCGTGTGCGCGGCGCATCGGTGCAACCTGGGATTCTTAAGACTATCACGGACAGTGGCGGATGTTTACTTGAAAGGAACGAGAACAGGCTGATGCTGAGTCGGTCAAAGAGTTAGGTCGAGGGCCAAGGTTTTTTCCCGAACATTTTTTTTTTAAATCCTTGAATTCAAAGCAAAAAGAAACCAACAAATCTTAGTGAAGAAAACTTGCACTCAACCTCTCTCAATACATTGGATTTGAAACCCATCTTGCATGGTAGGCACTAATCACGTCTTGAGTTAAAACCTAGCCAATTATATCTAAACGCAGAGCAACATATCAACAACCCGGGTGTCCTTGGTTAACAGATTCTAATATAAAGCGTGTTGCTTTTCTTTTATAGCAAATATAAACAAATACACACTTGTGTGTGTGTGTGTGTGTGTGTTGTGTGTGTGTGTGTGTGTGTGTGTGTGTGTGTGTGTGTGTGTGTGTCTGTGTGTGTGTGTGTGTGTGTGTGGAGGGGTGTTCTTCAAAGCGCTAAAAAAATTGGAAAAAAAAAAACTTGTCTCAAAGGAAGCGAGACTCTGGAAGCTCAGAGGGATGGCGATGATGAAAGCAGGCCCCTCACTCGCAAATAAAGACTTTTGTGCTCATATATTCATTTTAAAAGTCCAAGCTCTTATAAGATTAAAAAAAAAAAAAAAAGCACCACATTTCAGAAGACACCTTGTTGATCCATTCCTTATTTGACCTTGTATGTAATTAGTCGATAAGCCACTTCAACGCTGCATGCATTCAAATCAGCATGTTTGTCTTAAATAACACAAGAAAACAATTACATAATGCGATAAGATATCTTCACGGAAAACACACCGTCTTAGAATTTCTTGCCCTTTAAAAATCGCTACAAAAACACAATGGTGTCTCATACTGATCCCGAGTTGTTTCCATAAAAATGACTTCCTGTACTGGATAGCAGAATTAAGACGCGTGCTTGCAGCTCGAAAATGACACTATCAACCGTGACAATGCGAGCAGGATCCGACGTGGCCACCAATTAGAGGAAAATGCCGCCTCAGTGGCTTCTCAACATGAAACGGATGCAAGTGCGCAAACACACATGCGCAGAAGATGAAGCACGCTACCTGGGAGGTCCTGGCACAGGTGTCCCTCTTGCACGGGTGGCTGACTTGCCCCTTACCGCTGGCACCTTGGCATCTTCCGAGCCTCCATTCAGGTACGTGAGCTCCTGCAGCTGGGCCTGTCTGATTTCATCGTTGTAATCCTGCGCGCGCGCGCACACACGTACACGCACACACACAGCGCACACACGCACACACACACACACACGCACACACACTCGCATATTTAAAAAAAAAAAAAAAAAACTCTTGTGCGTGCACACACACTTTCAATTAAACTGCATTCAATTACAGACTTTATCTCCAGGGCTACATCACCAGGAAGAACTAATTAATATACTTTAGAGTGCTGCTGTTCATGAGACGGTATATATCTTTAAAAAAAAAAAAAAAAAAAAACACACATACACACACACCTCCAATTGCCTTTTCATGCAACTATACCACTACATTGGAATACATCTGCAAAAGCATTTAAATGTGTCTCGACACGAGCCGTGTGTGTTACTGTGTTCCATGGGGACAGAAGGGGAAAAAAAAAAAAAAAAAAAGGCACCGGTGAGCCTGGGTGGTGTTGGCCGGCTGGTTGGGTTGGGCTGCAGATAATTAATGAGATGTAAATCAGTATTGCTGAGAGCATTGCAGAGATCATCTATAATAAATGGCAGGAGAGTAAATAAACTTGGTGCGGCATGCTGCTACCAACGACGCGATATGGGGGTAGGAGCACTCCAATGTGTATGTTTGTGATAAAAAAGGTCACTGTCCCATTGAGGACGTTTTCCATGTTGAGAATGTGTGTGTGTGTGTGTGTGTGTGTGTGTGTGTGTGTGTGTGTGTGTGTGTGTGTGCGCGCCCCATACTGGTATGAGAAACTTCTTGATCTCCTCTAAGGCGTGACCCATCCTGGCGTAAGCCTCAGCCGGCGGAGCAAACACCTCGATGAGGACGTGCAGGTCTTCGTTGAGGTGCTGGTATTTGGCCTCGCCGCTCTGGCGCAGCTCTTCTTCCTGACGAGGCGAAAACATTGGAGCTAAATGGGATGCCAGTTAGCTGTCAGCTTGCGCGATTGGCCCAGATTCCCATGACGGGAAGAGAGTGATGCTTTACTGGAGGAGATATGTCTTGGCGGGGGGCGCCACTAGTAAACAGGCATCCTTAAAATTATTTGGACTGCAGCCGTCAGTCACCACTGATCGGTTTTGTCCCGTCACAGATGCCACTTCCTCAAATGAGACTTTGCCACCCTTCGATATTTCAACGATAAATTCCAGCTAAAATGGCACGCTCAAGGTTTTCCCTCATCATTTAAGAACGTGTGCTGAAAACGAGTTTGTTTCACATCACTTTTACTTCCACCCGATTTTCCCCAGCTTGAGACTAAAAATGCTTTATGGGGAAGAATTAGGCGCGTTTTAACCCCCTTACATGTTTATTTTTGATGATCTGTCACCTCTGAAGTTAAAAAATCTACAATGTAGAAATGGGTTTTAGCACACGCAGAAGAAAAAAAAAAAACAGAGAGCAGCCGCACCTCGCTCAAAACCACGATGAGAAACGATAGCATGTAAACAGCGGCAGGCTGCGGACCAGTTAGGCCCGCACAGAAGCAGGCCAGGATCATCATGATGGCAGGAAATAGGACGGCAAAAGCCCCAAATGTCTCCGATAACATCACATGAAGAAACAACAGGTTCAGTGTCCCACTTTCTCCCTTTTCCACCGAAAGAATCTTCTCCGGGGCTTTCCGATAGGCGCTGCTTCCTTTTTCCCCTTCTCCCGCCTCAGCACCAGGCGAGCCAGTATCTGATGTCATCTAATTATAAATAACCTTCTTTTAAGAGCGCCAATGGTATGTTAATGAGATGCGAATTTTCTCCATAAATCTGGGCTTTTACCGAGCCGCCGGTGTCGAATGTGTAAGCAAGAATGTGAGGAGAGACGCAGATCTGGCCCTGCTTTTCCCTTTCATGTGTCGGGATATTTACATTGGGGAGGAAAAAAAGGAACAAAAAAAAAAAAGCTTTGGAAAACAATCATGATTGTCTTAAAAAGACGACTCAGTCTAATGATACCATGAGTCATTTCAGCACATCTGCTTTAAAATTCAAAGCGGCTGTGGGGAAACTATACGGCCTGTGACAGCCATGAAATTGTAAAAACGGATAAACCCTCACAGCAACTGTTTCAAAAAAAAAAAGAAAAAAAAAGCCACAAAAGCTCGTAAGACACGACCGCCGACGAAAACATCTTCTTCAACTCAGCACCTTGCATTTAATACGTGACTCTTAGAACGTATTGGAAAGCACACCGGGTGTGGTATCTCAATCTACGTGGTTGAACGCACCATCTGCATATGGAGGCCACGTTATCAGCGCTGATAAAGATGATCCAACCGTGTAGACAGCAGCTAAGCGGCCCTCTGCGACAGATTACGGTTGTCTGCTTCTTACATCTATCTGCCGTATCTGCCTTCTTTGTGCCACCCCCACCCCGCCCCCCTCCACCCCGCCCTGATATATCTTCTTCGAAAAATAGCGGTTCACTCTGGAAACGCACAGGGTGGACGCTGGAGCTCCCGCAGACGGGGCTTTGAAGGGGAAGGAATAACTGAGCTAAATCCCCTTTCAAATTAAATATTAAAAGAAAGGAGTCGGGTGAGGGATCCTGGCCAATCTACAGCATCAGACTGACGCCGGGAAGTAAAATGTAGTCATTTCTTGAACAAGAAAAGGAAGGCAGGCGATAATAACAGCTTCCAAATCAGTTGGATGACAAACACTTGCATTAGGCCAATTTGCCACGACATCACGTCTTCCGGATGGCAAAAAGCTAAAGCGCGACACGGTTTGACTACAAAAGAGCAACGGAGAGGACGGGCCAAGTAGCTTGAATGATGATTGTAGCCGCCTTCTCGAGTGCAGTAGTTTGAATTTGTGATGCGTCAGTTGAGAGGATGCGACTGCCTTGGCTAAAAAGACAAAACATAAACAAATGATATAAAAAAATATATATATAAAAATAGAGCACATGTGAATGCATCGAACCCAACCGAAAATGTGCTAAATGGAAGGCGTGCAACTCACAATTCTGACTGGTGGTGGTAGAGCAAAGAAGGCATTTTTTAAACTAAAATAGCAGCTTGTTTGCATTTCCCAATGATTTATTTTCATTGTATAACTCACGATACAGTGTCAATTTGACCGTCATTCCTCAACCGCAAAAAAGTGGCACCGCCTTCCGTTTTGCAACACATCGCATTCCTTAACCAGGCAAGTCGCATGCCACCGAGATGTCTTGATCTCGCTGAGTCGGTCCCCAAGTTTGATGCAAATCACAAATTCAACTGAATTGCGCATAGTTCGAACATTCTGATTCTGCAATGCATACATTTGCGTCAGCTTGGTTGATCCGTCAACAAGGTAAAGCAATACAATATCTGTTGCGATGACAACGTGCACCCTTTCATCTTTTCTGCTCTTGGTTTCATCATCTGTGGCGTGAATAGAAGCTGCAATCGCTTGGGTTAACCTCCTGCGATGCGCTCCATCGCAAACGAATTCTTCCGGCTTAAAAGCCTGCATGCCAACACTCCAAGCCGTCTTTCTTTGGATGACGGGGAGTCTAATACATTTGGTAAGCACTATATATGATGCTATTATTCTCCAAAGAAACACCAAAAAGTCCACATAAAAAGACGAGGACAAAAGGGATACACCCTGACAATTAAAACAAGAATTCAATCACACTGGGCTCGCCGTAAGCGAAGCATAGTAAATTAATTTTACGGGCTACGTGGGGATTGTGAGAGAAAGTCCCAGGGAAGAAAATGGATGAGTTAATTATGGCGCGAACAAGAGGGAGGGGGTGGGCAGCACAGATGCCTTTACATCATGGCGCCTTGACAGCGGCAGGACAGCTGAGGTGCCATAACGAGGCGGCCGAACTCGGGGTCCCGACAGCTCGGCGCCTTTCAAACACCTCTGCACTGACGTTATTGTCAACAAGAGCGGCAAATATTCGGGCAATTATCCCGCCGCTTTACAGCGTCTGAGGGAAACGAGAGAGCGACGCACTCTTTATCTTCCCGACGCACGGCTGGATCTCGTGACTCGCGCAATGGCATTTCCGTCCACCGCGGCGTGGCAACTTCCCCACCCGAAGTGCAGCCTCGGAGGCAATGTTTTACCAGCATAGAAATATAATTATATAAATAGAAGCATCGGAGCGTGGCTGGTTGCGTCTGTGGGAAGGAGGCGGCTCTATTTTTACTCCCGCTTGAAAGAGCCATCGGGCGTTTTGCCCGTGCAGCGGCCTGACTGACTTCCTGGTTCACACTCGCAGGAATTCCGAGCCTTGAAAACTACAGTGGCACATTCTCCTTAAATCCACAGCAGAAAAGTCAGCAAAAGGCTGAAGATAGGGAGCAACTCCCCCCACCATTAATAAAAGAGAAAAGCGGCTAGAAGCTGAGCCGCCGGGTCTTAAATCGCACAGCAGGCATGTGCAGACAGGTGCAGGTGCTGGGGTCAGCACATCTCCGTGACGGATCTCTTCCTGGACCGTCTGAGACTATCGATCACCGGAATCAAAAAGAATGCGCTATATAATGACGAGAGTCATTGTGGCCGACAATTCACAGACGCCGACGAGCCCGGCCAAGTCGATTTATACACCCCCGCCCCCAGCCGCACTAACAAAGTCCGCAATCAATTCTGATCCTTCTGAGCTGCCGCTGGCGTCAATTTATATGCTCGCTTCAGACATCCACATAATCATTGATAAATAGGCCCTGTTAAGCGTGAATTTTGCTCCAAATTTCTCTTTTAAGAAACTAAATGAATTCCAGCTAATTAGTCTTTCTTGTCTGGCTGCCGTCGACGGTTGACACAACCGCATTCTTCGGCGCCACGATGTGTTGTCTGCTTTTGTCTCGCCCCGCTGCGCGAGTGTCCACTTTTTTTTCACAAAAACGTGACTTTGTCGAATTCAAATGGACCCGAGGCAGAATTAAATGCTGCCTTTTGGTCCGAAAAACGCGCTAAGTTGAAACCGGAGAGTGGCCATTGCGTCATCTTTTCACTTGTAAGGAAGCAAGGCAGCCTTTTTATTGGAAGGAATATTCATGACAAGTGACTAGTTTTCTTTTTGGGGAAAACAAAATTATAATTCATGTATGACTCTTGTACCTTATTTGATTGACGTTTTAAAAACTCAACGGAGGAGCTTTAGCATCCTGAAACATGTTTAAGTTTGATGCGTGTTTACGCCTATAAAAACAAAAAGTGCGACCACGTTTCAAAATGGAGTAGGTCACTTTGTGAAATTACGATCGCAATCATTCTGACATGAGTGGGTTTCGCTCAAAAGGTAAAGCGGAGAGTTCAGTTACCTTCTCTTTGTCCCGCATGGACCCTTTGCCGAGAATGGACATCTTTGTGAGGGTGTCCTCCTGTAGCCTCTTTAAGGAATTCCCACGTGGCCCGAGAAGTTTGCCCACAAAGTTAAACTGCAGGAAAGAAAACAGAGTGGGGGGGGGGGGTGATCAATCAAGCAGCTGTTTGCTCGAGATAAAGCGCAAAGACGCCCGCGTCAATTTAACGTAGATTTAACCTGAAGAAGCTTTTCACCGAAACTAATAAAACCTTTTCTTTGCATCCTGAGTAGGATCGATACAGGCGGTAAATCAACCGTATGTTGTCACCGTTTGGGCTTTTGCTACACAAGAACCATCCGAGTCACCGTCGATCACGTTGGTGATAAAATTGCCTCGGGTGACTAAATTACAGTCTTTATTCTCTGAATTTTCAGTAACCGCCAAGCGAAGATGAACTCACAAGGTCGCTGCGTTTTTGTCCGTGAAAGTAAGCCAAATGCTGTGCCATCACAATGCCAAGCAGCGCCGCGTTCAGAGACCCATCAAAGCGAGAGAAACCGTAACACTCGCCAAACCCAATTCCACTCACAGCCGGAGACGGTCAAAGTGAGACAAAAGATGGCCAAAACCTTTCTGACTTGTTCCACGGTCCCTTCGCCAGTGACTTATTCGGCCGTCTCCTTTTACCGCCAAAGTCATCAATTAGCTGGCGGGAGGTAACACCTCACCTCACCCTTTCCTCTTGTGTGCCTTTTGTTCACTGAGCTTATTCAGAGGCACCTGCCAATACCTGGCCGATGGCTTTGGGAGGGGAGCTTCAGTGATTTACTCTCGTACAGTAATATGTGGTTGGGCTATTTTTATTTTACAGTCCCAGAAAGGGCGGCGCGTTTGATCCATCGCGTGTTTCTGGAACTGTTTACAATAACTGCAATTTCTGTGAATGTCATCTCACGCGGAGGACTTGATTGGAGGGCTAATTCAAACCGAACGCAGGCAAAATAGGGTCAGTGTCCTCCTGCGAGATGGAGTCACTGTTGCAATGGTGACTGACGGATATCGTCGCTGTCCCATATTAACCTTGTCTCGCCACTTTACAGCCATGAGGACTTTTGAACATAATGAGATTCCCTGCGAGAGTGCGATTGCACCGTGTTCTGTTGAAGAACAAATGACGGCAAAGCCATGCTAACCGCGAAGCTAACGTGGAATGGGAGAGCTGCGAAATACCAGAATAAGTGCCAGGGTGGGACAATTCAGGCAGATCTATGTGACAATGGAGTGTACCAACTATGGCGAGCAAATTAGCGATTAAAATAAGCGTCGAGCGAAAATAACAGCTCCAGAGTAGGCACACATGACGTCTGAAAAAAAATTTGAAGTGAATACGGATCCATCAGTGCCGCTCATGTCAGTGAGGTCATTTTTTTTTTTTTTATATCGGTATTATTATATGTGTTTGCTCACGTGACTGCTCACGAGTTTTTTGTGGTCTTGAGATCCGCAGGCTTTGACGAGCTTTCGGGTAAATCTGCTGGAATGTCATGAGAGACTGTGAATAGAATGCTACAAAAGTTGACCGTGGACTTTTTTTTTTTTTTTGGCAAGTAAGTCCAATGAAGAGACAGTGTCAGGAAATGTTTTGAATGTGCTGAGTTTAAGCGATTCCCTGCACATTCATCATCCTGCACATGGATACCGCCTTGATCACCGAGCTGTACGGTGGGACGGAACGATGATTTGGCAGGGCCGGACACAGACAAAGTCGTATTGAGCACACCTTTTCATTCTTCTGAAGCATCCGACACGGTGTCAAGTGAAGGGTGATCGTGATGGATGGCAAAGGATTCGGGGGGGTAATTCATTCATTCTGCACAGTAAAGCTCAATGCTGAAAGCATCAACGGGGATCTGCATTTTCTGTGTTTTTGCGTTCATAAAACATTTGCAGAATTTAATCAGGATGTTGCATGGAGCCTTTAAGCAGAACGCAAACGAGAACCTTTTTCATGTGTTTTAATTATTAGTGGATGTGCATTAAATTTACAGGACCTCCTTTTACATGCGACTGCTTCTACTTGTTACATTAACGTATGAAATAATAATGCCTATTTTGATCGATGCCGACAGAGAGAAATCGTATGCCCATGATTAAAATATACTCAATATTCTCATTCGTAAGACGCACCATCTTAAATTGTGAACGTGGAGTGTGCAGGGGGCGCATGCAATTTCCTCGCTGCATTCAAAGCCACATGACATCAGCCAATACGGTCTGAGTGGTAATACCATTTCTCATATGGAAAAATGATCCAAATATGAGTCTTCCAAACAAATAAATCCCCCGCTGTTTATCATCGACAAAAATCTGTCCTGTGACTAATACTTTCGGTATCACGAGGGATTAGGTGACCCGTCTGGACTCGTATGATGTCACCGCGTCATGGGAGAGGATTGTGATGCTATGTTGGGAAACGGTCACGGTAAAACAGGATGTGGGGGAGAATTACCAGAACCTCCACTTTCTTCAGATAAAAGCAGGGAGGGGAGGCATTATTTCTAAGCATCATCTTGAAACCGGCGAAAGAGATGGCAAAGAACGCGTGGTGGCGCTTGCTTTATGGGTAGACCGCTGAAATCTTTTCATCATTCGCGGAATGTCTCACGGCTCGGCCTGGTGCTCAAAGAGAGTCCGAGCGGAGTCGTCGTGCTGAGGGCAGCAAGACAAGAAGGAGGGTCTTGGGATAAAATGGCTTGTTTCTCCAGACAGGGAAGAAGACCACAGTACTGGAAAGAAGCCAGTGGGACTCCTTACGACTTGCTAATGGGCCTGTAGTGCCTTCCGCCAAGAGATCCGGCGCACTAGTTAGCCACTACTCACCGTGCTACCCCTTAGGTCATGAAAAAGAAGACCGTAAACGCGCAGACACTAATTTGTTGTCACGTTCATCTGGAGATGGGACAAACAGACTGATGATGGTGTCACGAGACAGCAGGGTAAAAACAAACGAGGAGCTGACGGGCTGACGCAAAAACAATCCGAACTCAAACAAATCTGAGTTTCGAGTTTGATGAAATGGTGCCAGGGAGAAAAATTCCCAGACAGATCAGGAAGAACGGAAACCAGGAAGCGTTAACAACAATGGCAACAGATTCACTCCTCATCCATCATCCTTTTTTTTTCTCTTTTAAGGTAAATGATGATGTCGGCTCAAAGAAGGATTCGTGACGAATACATTATGTCTTGTGGCAATTTAAAAAAAAAAACAGCAGCTTCTGTTCCCCCCCCCCTTGGGCTAATTTAGAGGGTTTCTATGGTAGTCAGTAAACAATGTTAGCAAAGCTACAGGATGTTTTTTTTCAATAGCATAAAATTTATCCCGCTACTAGCTCTTAAACAACAACATGGAAAATATTTTTTCCCCTTTCTCTTTTTATTATATGAGCACAAGTTAACAAAAGATGAAAATTAGTACTTGGTGACATTTTTTCCCCCCATTTTGCCAAGAATTGAAGTTGTAAAACAAAATGGTAAAAACAATTTTTTTAAAATTCATTTTTACTTTAGGATGTAACTCATTACGGTACAGTTATTTCATCTGCACTTTTTATTTTAATTACCTCTACTTAAGTACAGAGTATGAGTGCTTTTACTACCTAGGGTTTAATGGAACGGCCATCTGTGCAGTGCACTTTCACTGGAAAGCAAAGTGCTCCTTTTGCACAGGGAAAACACACACACGCACATGCGCACATGCGCACACACACACACACACACACACACACACACACACACACATCCCGAAATGGTCATTTGGAAAGAGTTCCGCCATCTGAATGAATACCAGAGCCGAAAGTTGATGCTCAGCAACACAAATGAGAGTGAGAGGGGGGAAAAAAAAATAAATCAATTCAGATGAATGACTTCCGCCATTGCTTCCTGCCAAAGAGAACAAATTGAATTTGTCTTCCCCGCGGTGGCTTGTTGGAGCTCTAAACAGCGTATCAGTGGCTCACCTTATCAGATATGTCAAAGCAGACGCGTTCAGCTGTGAAGCCAGACTCGATGCATAGAAAACACAAGCATCGACACTCATCGTCGCTTTTGTCCAATGAATTCAAGCTCTTCTTCCATCTTATTTACAGTGGACGCCATGATCTGAATCTCAGTGACGGTTGCGACGTAGGTTGCAAACAAATTACGAGCACGGTCATGAGAATGTTTCCCAAGCAGAGCGCATTATCCACAATCCCCGCTTTAATTTTAGTCGTAGTATGGTACAGTAAACCTCCGAAACGCTCACACTCGTACAGAAGGACCTTCGGCTCTTCAATAAATCCAAGTTGTTGGAACACCCACTCGTTGTTCAATAAAGCCGAAACCGCAAACACTCATTGGCCAACATAAAGCGTGGCGTGACCTCAAACTGCCTGGGCGGCAGTGCCCCCTTTTGCTTTGTAGCAGGGCACCGTCAATGTCTTACCGCGAGCCCCCCCAAAAAATGGCTGTTATTTACCTGGAGCAAGGAGGAATCTATCGCGAGAGGAGAGAAAATGAAATCGGCTGTGAGATAATTCCCCTCAATCTTATATTCATAAATATTCATAGACGTATGAATATGGTGAGACATCAAAGTGGCATTGATCAAGGTCAGTGTAATGGAGATGTAGCGTGCGTGCGTGCGTGTGTGTGTGTGTGTGTGTGTGTGTGTGTGTATGTGTGTGCGCGACAGAAAGTGGGAGGAACAACTCCTGAATACCGCTCTACTTACTACAGTAGGAAGTCCTCTTGATACGTGACATCAAACAATAGTCAAGACTACTGCAACAACAAAATATCAAGGGGCAGTAGTGAGGAACTGAAAAGCAAACTGGAGCAGGTTGCATTCGTCTATAAATAAATGCCGCACGTTCGGTGTGTCGGCTTACTTTAGGAAACTGCTTGACTGGTATCAAAACTTTCTGGCCCAGTTTCATGTTCTTGTTGATGACGACGTCGATGAACTTCTCTTCCTCCTTGCCTTCCTCCTTCTGAATCTTGTCGATTTCTGAAAGACAAAAGGAGACGTTATCGGCGGGTCGGTGTGGGTCATGTGATTGATTCATTTTGTCAATCGGCGTCATTCCGAGAAACTTTGTATTATATACTCTGTTTTAATTGAACATTCAGTGATTTTGATTTGATCTATTTAATTTTTTTTTTTGCACCAAACTTTACTTTGCTCAAATTTAGTGATAATTTACCGACCTCAAAGCCATTTTTCCAGTGTATTTGGTTCACTCCCAACTGCATTCAAATGCTGTTCAAGGTTTTTGCCAGTACAGCAGAAAGTAGCATCATCCGAAAACAAAACCTATTTCTTGAAACGTGGCATATATCATAAATATATAACATGCATCATTTAGAACCTAGTATAGACCCGAGGCACCCCGTGTATACACCTCAGACATGACATGTCCCCCTTTGCCAAGTTCTGACTGAAAAACAAAGGCAAAAAAAGTGTTTGGGGTTTTTTTGGGAGGGTGTTTTTGCCGACACCATTTCATGTGGGCAAATTCCTGTGATTGCTGCTTAAATCATTTCATGTATGTTTTGCTTTTTACTGCTTTTGATGTTGAAGTAGAAGACATATGTTCTACTTACTTATGACTTATATGTAATATTATTAATATGTGCAGGTATACAACTCCAATGCATGAAACACAATCAAATGCGAAAGAGTTCAAGTATTAGCAGGATGATTATTCATCATTACTATCACTAGTCACTGACCTTTAAATTCTGAATTTCACACAAAGCAAAGAGAAAGCCAATAAGCACCTGGCCAACGGTCTTCGCTTCATCTTGCGGTTCTTGAAAGGTCACAGAAAACACTTTCACTCTAACAACCAGGTAGCGCAACGCCCGTATCCAAATTTCCGTCAATTTCAAACAAAGTAGTGCTCGATTAGTAAGAATGACTTTAGGACAGAGGTCGGGTTTTGCGAGTTGTTGAACATACAAGCTCTCGAAAGGATCATTAAAACAAGGTCGGTCGGGGTCCCTTCAGCGACACTCATGCAGGTGTTGTTACGCAAAACCTAATTTTCTTGTCATTTGAGCCAATATCAATTTACTCGGAAGGACTTTTACCGAGTCCCTTTCAGGTGCCCAGTGGAGGTGGACATTTGAGCATGTCCTTACAAGCTATAGCAAAAGAAAAAAAAAAAAAAACATTGCTCCCGCCATCTTTTTCATGTCGAGGCGCTGGACTGTGATGTATTTAGAGGCATAACCTTGAACACTTAATCAGATGGATAACAGCGGCCTTTCGGTGGTGGTAAAATGATTTTGCGGAAAGGGCAACTTATGAATGCGGAGAGCCAACGAGAAAAAGAAGAAAGAAAAAAAAAAACTAATGGCAAGAGGAAGGGTGAGACGGAGGGCAAACTCCATTTCGGATTTGTTTCGTGTAACATAAAAATGATTTAGAAAAAGATGACAGTGCCCCAAGCCATCAGTGTTTTATTATTATTATTATTATTATTATTATAGTTATTTGTTTTTTGGGGGGGGACTGTTTCATTTGCTGTGAAGGAGTATGAGATATACCAAAAAGAAAAACAACAAAAAAAAGCGCAAAAAATGTGTACAAGTGAAAACAGAGCAGATCCTTCTTTCCACTTTATTCCTGTCACATTTTGACAGAGTAAATTAAATGCTCTCAATAAATAAAACACAATTCCTCAGAATTTGCAATGAGTGCGTTATTCTCTTACAGTCACTTGTTGTCACCCTTTTGAAGAATAAAGTCACAATTAATAAGAAACATTCACGTTTATCCAGAATGAATTCGGAATATGGATTTTGTGTATGCTACTCACGAATGACATGCTAGCACACTGTCATGTTATTGTTTTAAATACTGTTTTCTTGGTGTGACAACACGGTCATTTTATTCATGAAAACTTGTGAATTTGTGAAAATTAATTTGCATAAAATAGATCACAATAAAAATATCAACATCAAAAGAATTCAAAATTTCACCTGAATAAAATTTTATTATTCAAAGACTCTAAAAATATTCTTAAAAAAAAGGGTGGGGGGGCGAAATCATACATTTACATGTCACATTGTTAGTTGTATCGCATGAAAAAAAACTATAATCTGAAAATGATGCAGTTTACTAGAGTAACACTATCACATTACTAATTTATTAATGAAATAGTTTGTGAGTGCAATTCGCCTTAGGAAAAGATCTTGAGAGTAAACTGAACGACAAAAGAAAAAAAAAAAGCCTGAATAATTTTCTTTTTCTCCTAACTGACCACCGTGAGAACATAGAAATCTAACGTTTTTCATGTAGAGGGAGCAACCACATACACAAGATTAATCAATTACGCAAAGCCAGATGTGCAAATTGGATCCGAAAAAAAGGGGGGGGGGGCTAGTGATTAATCAATAAAGCTCCCGCTGCATTAATATTGCAGGAACTAATTACAATTATTTGAGAGGAGTCTCTTAGGTTTTATTTTTTTTCCCCCACCAAGGATAAAGGATAATTGAGCTATCAGGGAGATCGAGATCTCAGAGCCCCAGCTTATAGTCAGGGTGGCGCAAAACAACATTCTGAGGAAGAAAAAATAAAATAAAATACAACAACATTAATATTAATGCATCACCTAGCAACATGCCCAGAGAGACTCCATCCTCTATTGAGATGCGTCGCGCCTGAGATTGTTACCGAGACAAGTTTCGGCTTCCTATTGGCCCACTTTTGCTCTTATTGAAGATTTGACCGGAGGAGAACTTTGCATTTCGCAACCGAATTGACCTCTGACTCACCCTTGCCCAGCAGGTGCAACCTAAACGCGGCTTCGGATCAGTTGTCAGCCAGTGGGCGTGAACACACCGCGCTTCTTCTGGGCGGCGTTTATATAAAAAAAACAAAAAAAAAACTGAACTGTGCACCACCTCTGCATCATTAACAGCTGTTGTGAAGGAGGAGATCCAAACGCCGACGGAGCATAATGCGTCTGTTGTGCTGAGTTTTTTTTTTTTTTTTTTAAGGAGACTCTCCCGTGACTGCAAATGCGGCAATATTCTAATATGGCCACTCGGAGAAGCACGACAAAGACCTTGAATGAATCAGCCTGTTGGAATGCTAAGTGGTGATAAGACGTTTAATAAAAGGCTGTAAAATTGTCTCCATATGGATGGATGAATAGATTTAAATGCAGCGGAACCTCTGAAGTCAAAGGTCCTAAAAACTTGAGTTTGGCCTCCAAGTAACTTGCAAAATTTGCAAGAAGATTTTTTTAAATAGAGTTAAATGAATCCCCTAGTAATTTGAGTACCTTTGTTAACCTCAGTTAACCCTGACTACTTTCTTGAGGGACTTTTATTTTATTTTTTTTAACAGTATTGTACACGGCCAGGAAGAAGTCAAGCCACGCCTAGCAACAATTATATGCAGGACGGTAACACGCCACCAGTGCGGTGAGAAGACCAACTTCAAAATAAACCTCACCTTACCAAATAGGATATGAATGCATTGTGTGCTTTTATTTTGAAGTCTTTCATGCACCGATAATGATACCCTGATAACATAATCAGCTGTCCACCGTAGTCACCGCTGTGCCTGAAAGGGTTAACATATCATGTTAAAATTTGTTTTTACGATTTTTGGGGCATGTCGGACAAGAAGTCACCTCCTTCCCTCCCTATGCAAAACCTTGCGTGCTCTCTTAGCATCGGTGGCTAAACGGTGCAGCATTATACATTCGTATGAATACAGCCAAAAATAAACATTTTCATTTTTTTTTTGTGAGGCCAATGTTCATAGCCATGTAATGAATTCATTTTCCCCAGGTTACAAACTACAAAAATATTCTTCAAGGCAACTGAAACATTAATTTGGGTCTCGCGCTTTAAATGAATACACAAAAATACAAGAGGGAGAGAACACATTAAAAAAAAAAAAAAAAAACGCGTCAGGAGGCACGGAGTCCGCATGCGACCCGCATTGTCGCTCAATGCAGCGGAACCGACTGGTGCTTTACAATTAGTTGCACATAAAACTGTTTCATGGCATATGTTTGGCGCATTAGTGGCTCGAGCTACAAAGTGGTGTTCATCTCACAGTGGTATTTATCCACGCGCGGTGTCTTCTGGCGATGCCTGCCTGGCGTGCAAAACATTTCAGCGGCAATAAAGACATGCTGACAGGAGGTAGAGTAGCATTAATGATCTCTTTGGTCTAGAATAATAAGAAAAAAATGTTTGACATTTCAATTAAGCAACACAGCGTGGCGGGGTTTTTAATTTTTTATTCTTTTTTTTTTTTTTTTGCACAGCCTTTGCCGCTCAAGTGCTGGCACATACTGTATGTTACCTCCCGGCCATGTTGCGCTCACTTCTAATCACGCGGCGTGACAAAGGGTGACACGTTATTTGGTGGTTGTTGTTGTTGCTGAGCTGCTTTATCAATTGCAATGTGCATCTGCGGAAAAATAATTGAGTCGTGCGGAGGAAGAAACCGACTTGCACCCTCAGTACCGGCAGTTTAAAACATTTAAAAAAAAACACTCAAATGAAACGCGGCGCAGAGTTTATATGTTACTCTTTAGTGCATCTGTAGCCGACAGACTTATTACTTTGTTTTGCAATGGAGCAGAAATGTCGCATTCATTATTCATCTGCAGAAAAAGATTTGTTTGCAGCGCGAAAAGGCACGGCGTGCTTGCTTCAAGTTGTTTGTCAAAGTCACTTAGTTGTCTGACACAAAACAAAAGAGAATCAAACAATGCATATTTAAACTAAGAAAAACATTGAACTTTATCAAACCAAAGTCTTCGAACGGATGTCCAACCTATCATGGGAAAACTAGCTTTCTGTCTTCTTGGAGATCTCGGTGCTCTTTCAACACAAGTCGCACACCTCTAAATTTGGACTGCGCTGTATATTGTAAAAAGCCCCATCCTTTAAAAAGAGGCAAATGATGAACCACCATAACGCGGCAGAACGATGTCTGGCATATTTACATTTTCAAAGAAGGCAAACTAATGT